GGGCGACACACAATTGTGCAATGCACTACAGCAGGGGGCTAGTCCGCTGGTAGTGCTGTGTGTTTGACCCTTCCACACTCTTTCTCATATGTGCTGAGTGCTAAGCAGAGAAAGAAGTATGTACCATTTTTAAAGTCTTTGGTATAACCCGGCCGGGGTTTGAACTCACGACCTCCCGGTTACAAAGCGAGCACTCTACCAATTGAGCTATTGCACCGGTGTTGCAATTAATAAGATACTCATAGTTAACCATTTAACTTTCTTTAGACCGCTTCATTCCGAAATGACTACGGAGTTTATCCACAGCAGTGTTTGGTTACAGTGATGGTTGGTCCGCGAGGCCCGCGCAGTTGGCGAGGTCCGGTCAGTCCACCCGGACCTCCTGGACATGTAAACATGCAGTATTAAACTAAGTAACGCTCCTCTTTACAAGAACAGACGGCGTACCACTGGCAGTTGTGGACCAGTGCATAAAAAAACCTGGCCTTTAACCCTATCTATAGACGGGCTTTTTTGAGCTTGCTGGGACCCCCCCCCTCAGAACTCGCGAACGGTATGTCGTATGACCACTAAATTTTCAGAGGATGGTGTACTTGTAAAAATTTATCATATCTACAATTTTTATGTCGTTATAACGTAATATGACGTCATTATAACGTCATTAATGTGATTTTATTGCCCAAAACCGTCTAGATAGGTTATTCCCTGAAAACTAAATGGTATACAACATAACTTTACGAAGAGTGTTTATGACAGAATATTAGTGTGTACTGTCTTATGTTGCCCATAGCAAACCGGTAACGTCATAAAATGACGCCATGCATATCTAAGCTATCCGCCATCTTGGATCATCAATCTTGAATTTTCAAAAAGTATTTTTCAGGATAAAGCCTAAAACATATTGTGAACATACTAAAGACTTTCATATAATCCTTTTTTGTTTTTTAAAATTGTTTTTTGTCTTTTAAAGTATTGACGAAATTTTAAGAAAAATAACCTGTATATACCTGTTCTAATGATATGGTCCGCCATCTTGGATTTTGACCAATGACGGCATCGAATTAGCATAAATTATGAATTATATAAATTACCCAGCTCTGTCCTGCTACAAAATGTAACCAAGCACCACAGGGGTTTTGGCTACGGAGCTTATTACTATGGTGACAGCCGTCTGGTCTAGGTCGTTGACCTTCTATGTTTGGAGAAGGAGAAAAGGAAAAAGGAAGAGAGCAAAAACAATATATTTTCCTTCTGCGAAGGTAAAATAATTAGTTTTACCTGTTCCGAAACCGTACGGTTATTTCCCGATGCCTTAAGACGTTTTCTAGCATCACATGTATACGTGTCACCTTTGTTACAGTGTAGCTGTGCCGCCCCGACTGCTCCTTTGCAGGTCACAACCCCAGCAGCCCCGACTGCTCCTCCGCAGGTCACAACCCCAGCTGCCCCGACTGCTCCTCCGCAGGTCACAACCCCAGCAACCCCGACTGCTCCTCCAGCAGGTTAGTTGGAGGGTCCGAGTTTCTCACGTGCGGGACGTACAGTGACACAGTCATAGTATTTTCACCAACGTGCCTAAAAACTCTTACACATCCCAGCAATTCATAGACAGATGGCAGTCATATACAAGCGTTACTGGTCACATTACCCTACATTATACATTGAACATTTAGATGCAGTCCAATTCATTCTAGTCCGGTGTTTGCGGCCTTGATTTCTTTTTGTTTCTACGCCTACTAATTTGTGTCCCTGGATTTTCGGAGTTAAATACTAGCAGTTTGGCCTGTCATGAATTACCAATTTGAAAGATGTTTTAGGTTACTAACATGTCACAGTTGTCTGACATATCAATCATTACATCGTGACTAGGTCCTCCTGTTACTTACCGTTTCCCAGAGCCAGACTGTGCTGCATATAAAGCCACCGGACACATGGCAAGTGGAGTCTACACACTTGGCTCAACCCCGGCCCTGGCCGGTGTAGAGGTCTACTGCGATATGAAACCAGGTAGATATGGTTTTAAGGCACATAGGTGTCCATAATGTACACATGTGATTGAACTACCAAAAGCTAAAACTATAACGTATACGTAGGGATGCAAAAGATGTTAGTCAAATCCCTATTTGAAATCATTCACAGTGTGGATCTATTCCAATCAATCTCCTCCGCAAAGCGGACATAGACATAGTTCGAGCTGTTTCCATGTAGAACTCACTCAGCTCCGCATGCCCCTCAGCACTGGGGGCGTAGCGCCTCTGCATATAGGGCTCTCCAGGACTGCCTGCCTCTTGCTGCCTCCCAGGTGGTGGTGAAGTCAAGTCCTGCGATCTGGAGGTCGGTGGACAGTTGGTCCGTCCAGGTGCGCCTCGGTCTCCCTCTAGGGCGGGACCAGGTGGGGGGAGGCGGTTCTCTTAGGTGAGAATCTAGTTCCAGGGGTGGTTCCGCCCTGGCAATATGTCCGAAGAGGCGGAGACGGGCAGACCGGATTTTACAGGACAGTGGGGGCTGGTTAGTCATTGCTCTCAGGTCGTCGTTGGAGTAAAACACACATGTAAAACACTTAAGGGTTAATGTCCCGCCCCGAGGTGAATATGGTGTGATAAAGCCTTGTCAGTTGCTATAACCACCGAATAAAGCCACCAAGTGAGCGCAGCGAACGAGGTGGCTTTATGAGGTGGTTATAGCAACTGACAAGGCTTTATTACACCATATTCACAGAGAAAGGGCGGGCCATTAACGCTATTATCATATAGCTTACGCGATAGCCTATCCAAACTGATGCAGTGAAGAGTGACACAATGTACAATTTACCCCTTGCACATGCTGAATAGAATATAGAATATTTGTTCCATCTGGAGTCACCTGAGGTCACTGGGGGGTTCACATTCTATGGCCTTCTATCTGGGTCACAGGCAGGGAACAGGTGTTCTTATGGGAGTCACCCGAGGTCATCGGAACACAACTCAAGTTATTTTTGGATTTTTTAGAAGTAGAGCCGTGTTCTATTGGGTCACCTGAGGTCATATGCGGGTGATTATCCATTTTGTTTAATGTATGGATTGGGATGAATAAATACCCGATTTTGACTCTATTTGTGACATTACGGCGACATAAAGAATTTGGAATGGAGCCTTCTGATTGGTCAACGTCACCCGGCTATATGATAATTAATATTATTGCCTCCGGGGGAGGAGATATCCTTCCGCGGGAGGGCTATGTGAGAGATTAAGATTTTCACGTTCGCAGCAGTTTCTCGCGTTTGGGTGGACATATTCTTTTTGGACTCGGTATATGTTTTGCTATTGGGCTGTAGATGATGCCCGTTCTTTTGTTTTTATTGTATATGTGTTTTCGGGCGAGAAAATGGTGCCTTTTGGTGGCCCCAGAACACCCCTTTAAGCGTGAAAATGGTCGCGACTGTTGACCTTTGGTGTGTTTGAAGTATTCTCGGTCGGGTCCACTTGTATGACCTTTCGCACAGAGGGATGTCTGGTGTCGATATTCTTTGTTTAAAAATATGCACAAAAACGCTGTTTTCCAGGGCTTCATAGCCAGATTCAGTTAAGATATGCACAACCTTTGGTGACAATATATTTCTTTGCGGATTTATGGTGTTTTTTGACTTGGATCGAACCCAGAAGTGTCAATACGGGGGCACGATGTCTGGTAAAGGTAGCGAGTCACAAGTATGCAAATGAGTATTATGCAAACTTTTGCATATGTGCCTATATTACTACATTTTCTTGTAAACCCTTGTATATTTGACGTACTATAAGCAGCAAGCTTCTGTATGTGACATTTCGGACCCCAGTCACTATGTTTTCGATCGAAATATTTGTGGTTTTAACGTCTGATTTAACGGTTTCGGTTGTCATTCTGAGTTTCATTACGAGTTCCTTGCGGCAGATTAAATAGAATTTCATAAGTTCATAGGTACATGTTATAAGCTGCAGATGAAAATGTTGACCTGTTGTGTTAACACAACCTGGAACGCTAAATCTAACACATACAATTTAACACCATCAACTATTCATAACAAACAACATATAAGAATATACAATAAAAAGCCCGGAGGTATAAAATCTCAGATTTTACTTGTTATAGAATAATATGAGTGTTTTGCCACAGGAGGTGGATGGACTGTGATCCAACGGCGACTGGACGGGTCGGTTTTCTTCAACCGGACCTGGGAGGAGTACAAGCACGGGTTTGGGAACAAGAACGGGGAATACTGGCTTGGGAACGAGAACATCCACCGCCTGACTACTCAGAAGGACTATATCCTGCGCATCGATATGATGGACTGGGATGGAAATAAACGCTACGCGGAATACAACACATTTAGGTTGGTCCACTCTAGTGAAGGTTCTAAGCAAACACGTACATTACTAGGAAGCCACTTGGAACTATATAAATTACACTGACAGAAAAAAGGTCTATCCTAAAAACTGCTGATGTAAGTCATGTCTAAGTTAGTTAAAGGTGATCATCATTAGGCATTAGGTTATGTAGATGTTCAGGTTATTTGCCAAATGATAGGACTTTTACACATACATGATTTCTACATTTATACATGATTTATTAAATTTGATAGAAAGGACTTTCAAAAATATGCTAATAACAACATTTCCATCATCAATAAGACAAAATAACACAACAACATTTACAAAAGTATAGTGAAAGGTTGAACTTTATTCCAACACACAATATGTACAGGGATCAAATTTACAAAAGTACTTCATTGAGGTATAAGATCTTTGGACTCTAGTTTTTTTTATATACAGACTAGATCAGAATCAATGCAGATTGCTGTTCATAACTAATATTATATGATTTGCTGTTTCCATCCAGGGTGTCCGGTGAGTCGGAACAGTACCGGCTGACCATTTCCGGGTATTCAGGCACAGCGGGAGACACCATTACGGACAGCTATTCCATTAAAAGAGGCGGCAGTTGGCAGACCAGCGGGCAGATGTTCTCCACTGTGGACAGGGACAATGATGGCCACATTTTCCGCAGCTGTTCTCAGCGTTACGGACAGGGCGGCGGGTGGTATAGAAATGGCTGCGGCGGCGCCAAACTCAACGGCCGCTATCTCGGCAACTGTGGGAACTCCTGTCCACACGCGCAAGGTGTGACGTGGTACGACTGGAGAGGCCATAGTTACTCCCTGAAGTCTGTGTCTATGAAAATCAGGCCACGATAATCGCATCTATTCTACTAAATCTGATCACACCCAGTTATCCACAAAATCATCAATCCTACATGTCTGTAACGCTGACAAGCAACGCTCTCTATTGTAGCGGCTTTGTCTGTTAAAAACATACATCAGAATGTGTCAGTTTGAATGTATCAGTGTGGCAGACATCTTTGTTCAGATAACTGGAGAAGTGGTCAGATATAGTTGTTATGGAGCAAACTGTTCACTATCATACAAGTGACGATACCTGAAATATCTAGCGACTGATAAGAAAACTAGTAGTGGCTTATTTTGATGCTGGGAGCTTCTGATTTAATATATGAATGCATTTTGTGAGGTATTTCTATTGTTGTAGAATGGAAGTAACGTGTTAATGCAACTGTAGTGTTGTAGTCATGGATTCCATATTATGTAAGACTGTATGTAAGTATATTAGCCCCAGTCCATATATAACCTACTTTTGTTCGTAGTCTTCTGTAGAAAGTAATTGCTTTGATGAATGAGATAACGACTGAGCAAATATAAGTTAGTGTAAGTTGGTGTAAGCAGGTAAGTGGGCTTTATCTGATTTCATTTCTGTTGCAGAAACATCATAACTTTGTACCAAAACAAAAATGAAACCGACCAATCCAACCAATTATCTTTAAAATCATTACTACTCTTTATTCCACTGTAATTAATAAATGCCCATGAATACAATATTTTCTTCCTTTATCAAAAACATGCTAGCTGCACATTTCAACTGAATAGAAATAAGAATGCACGCAGTACAGCACATGAGCCTACCCAGGAAAACAGCAACAAGAAATTAAAAAAAAAAAACAGAAAAATCTGCTTCAAAATAAACCAGAATGGCAAAATCGCAAATCTATTTACACAACATTTTCTACCCCTAGTGATCAAACACAGCATGATTTTGTACTCAGACTATCTAGTAGTAACATCTTAGTTTGTACCATACTAATAGCGAGCTTTAAGTTTCATACTTAGTGGCACAGCAGTAGTTTACACAGTGGAAAGGGTCATTATGAATCTGTGAGGTGAAAGGATATACAATGCTTTTATCAAAACTTGCTGAAAATATTGTAATTGTAAAGACATATATGCAGTACCTCAGTCAGGTACTAGAAGGTGCACATTTGATGCACTGAAAACTATTGTTGTTAAACATGGCAAAATTCCATCCTTTGCTGGATAAATTAAACATTTAAAAGCCTAAAGAATATTATTTGCTCTTTTTTCCACCTTCAAACAGATAAAGTTTACTCAAGATGTGCTAGTTTATACACACTTCTCAACCAGAAGTTTCCAGACAATGTTGACTTGCCTGCATTGCTCACAGCATTGCCTGCATTGGCACTACTCTATGTTGGCCACTTGGATCATGTGCTCCCCTATTATATTATTGTCCGGTTAGTGAACATAGCACTCCAGGTCATGTCTTTGAGCATTGTGCAGAGTTGAAGATGATACATACTTGTGTACATGTCGTACCATAAATAAACTCCGTCTTTCAGAATCAATAATAAAATTCAATGCCTACTGATATGAAAGTAATTACCAGTGACTTGTGTAAAATTTGTCCGCTTGCAAATTGATAACATTTAACCGAACTTACCAACAAGATGCCGCTTGATGACATCGTTGTCTGACTCTTACGGACTGGATGTCCCATCTGTGGATATGAACAATACCAGTTCCGTTAGGCCACACCAATTTAATTTCTTGGTTAACGGATTCGCCGCTTCATTTTTTTACTCCGTGAAGGAGGTCAGGACCTCCGGACGGAGTGTTGTAATCGGCTGATTTTTCATGTTCGCAGTCAAAACACTGGGTTCTCTTTGTGTAATCGGCACGCAATTTTATACGCCGTCTGCGGGCATGCCCGTGTTGATGCACGAATGTGTATTTTTGCCGTTGCTGCTTTCGCGGTCAATGTAATATCGCAGACGCACCCCTACAATTACGAGGCGAATTGGAATGGTCCAGAAAAACGCGTTGTTTGGAATAGCAGTGGGGTTCAAAAAAGTTCATGCAGATACGGGGTGGTTTTTATAAGTGGTTCCAGATGTTTTTGCCCATGGTTAAGAGATGCCAAGTTTTTTGGAAGATGTTCGCAGCCAAAACGCATTCTTCCGTACGTCGCATTTCTGTGTAATTTCGCATGTGGTGTTGCATTATGTCCGGGATGATGCCACGTCTTTTTATTTTTACCGTTAGCTGTTTTGTATATTGGAGTAAATGCTTATTTTCGAAACATCCCCATTCTTTGAAATGGTTTCGTCCGTTTATGCAACTGTTACTGCGCTAATGACGACCAGTCGCGCTGTCCTGATACACCGCGAATGTGCGAGTGTTCCCTGTAGACAGTCCCGGGAGTCATTTTTTTGCACATTCCAGGAGCCAAACCAAAATACGTTCATGAACCGAGTCCAAAAAACCGAAACGTGAAAATCGGATGATCGGACCTGATGTACATTTCTCTTTCTATAGATTGTACACACAATACACACATCTTTAGATAATCTGGCCATGGCAGGTTTAAAAAAAAGTAACCCTGAATCATACTAGATTAGCGTAAATGCATGTTAATGCGTTCAAAACAAGAAAAAAATTGTTTCCGGGTATTAATCTCTTGAATCACGGCGCTGAATATTGA